CTTGAAAATGCAGAAGTGAATGTGGAACCAAGCCTGTCTGTATATCTGGTAGCTCTTTTCTTGCTTTATTTTTCCTTACTAGTATTCTGCCCACCGTTTGCTTCTGTGATGGTTATATTGCCTAGCAAGCACACCGTGGTTGTGAAAATAGTATAGCAAAAAAGAAATATCCTCAGCTATTGATGTGCTAGATTTTTGTATGTCTTTTAAACAGTTCTAGTTTCACCTTACACAGTGTAAACCTTCCAAAGTGAAATAAAAATTGTATCAGTTAAAAAAATACAGATTTGACCCAATAATATGGCATCAAAAACTGTATAGTTTGATGATTCTTGGATCGATTTTGAAATGATGGATACATGAACTTTTTTCTAGAATCAAATACAACAAACTCTTCGTTTGCCTTTGGAGAGTGAGATTATTAAGGGGTATTAGTATACAAAGGGAATTAGGTTATAAAGAGAAACATTTCCACTTTATACTTCATTGTTTGTTTACTTTTGTATTTATTACTTTGATTTACATGTAAAAAATTAAAATATTGAAAGCTCTCTTCAATAGACAACATTTTTTTTAACAACATAGCACTTTTAACCTATTTTTTTAAACAACATAGTCACTTTTATTGACTTAATAAAAGTCAGTACTTTTTTTGTTTCAGGGCTTAAAGCGTAATATGTTTCTAAACAAATTTGCTAATTTTCATTATTGATGGTCTGAGATGTTTGCCCCTAGAAGGATGTTAGCGAAGGAGGTTTATCTTATCAAATTGTATGAGTTAGCTACTGCAACACAGTACAGCACCCCAAAATATAGTTGCTGAAAGCAGTAACCATAATTCTGTGGGTGAACTATTTGGCTTGGCCTCAGCTGGACAGTTTTTGTGGTCTGTGCCAGGCTGTGCTGACCACAGCTGGCCTCTCCCGGTGCGGCCTCGGTCCGCTGCCAGGATGATGAGGAGTGAGTGAGTTAGTCTAGGATGGTCTCTTTGGGAAGGGCTTACATCTGCTCCATATGGTGTCTTCTTCCCACAGGCTGGCACAGCCTTGTTCACCTTGGGATTCATCAGGGTTCCAAGAGATGGAGCAAAAGCAGGCAAGGCCTCTCAAGGCTTCAGCTCCTATTTGGCCAGCAACATCCCTTTCACCACATTCTAGGTTAAAACAACTCACAAGGCCAGCCCAGATTGAAGGCATGGGGAAAGAGACTGCTGCTTGATGGAAGGAGTTACAGAGGCACATGACAAAGAGGCATGTCTGCAAAGGAAGGAATAATGGCAGCCATTATTACCAGAAAATCTACAATACACAGTCTTACACTGCCCAAAAAATATGTGAATAATCAATAGAATCACTTTGTGAGAATCTGAAATATATCACTCTTCTTAACGTTTGCCCACAAAATTGTCTTTATTTTGCTGGTACAATATAAGCAATTATTCAACTAGTAAAAGTAATCAGTACTCTAGATACAGCTTCCTTTTAATGGTAACAGCTAGCACTGGCTATGAAGCGTTTGATGTATGCCAGGCAGTGTCCTACGCATAGTATGTCATATTGCAAGAGTAGGTGGGAGCTAGGGTTTTAGAGTCTGGAGCCCAGCTTGGTTTGAATCCCTATGTTAGTATTTATTAGCTATGTGACCTTGGTAATCAATTAGCTTCCGTTTTCTATCTATAAAATGGGTGAATAATAATAAACTTATAAGACAGACATAAGATTAAATTTAATCTATGTTAAGTGCTGGTAACAATACCTAGTGTATCGTAAGGGTTATGTAGCTGTCAGCTATTGTTTTTGTTATCATTTCCCCTCCCCCTCTCACAATAACCCTGTGATGGTTAATTTTGTGTGTCATGCACAACTAATACAAACTCTGTGGGGTAGCTTCTATTCTTGTCTCCATTTTGCTGAGAACATTGAAGTTCAGGGAGACTCACCAGAGCCACAAAGGCAAGGTGTGGCAGAACCCTCATTCAAACTGTAGCAGCTGTCTCCAGTCTGGGATTTTCATGCCATACAACACTGCCATGCTGTTTAACAGTATCTTCCAGAATAACTGTCGGCAGGTCAAACATTGACAGGTTATGTTCTTTTTTCCCTGTGGTTAGCATTTCAGAGGAGCTTTATTCTCCCCCTACTTGGTTTGCAGCTGAGCAGATATAAGAGTAGCTATATGTACAGAAACAGCTCCCACATGCAATCAACTTAACTCCTACATGCAAAGTACAGGGTTACACACTTGCAGACATTCTCATTTTATTTTCACAGGTAACCCATTAGGTATATATTTCCCGATTTTATAGATGAAGACACTGAGACTGCTCTTGTCTAACATCACAAAGAATGGGTCTGCCTCCAAAGCTTTTTCTGCTAGGCAGAATTGCTAAATTAAATGTAAAGAGATTCTATTGCAAACGGTTTATAAAGTGAATCTGTAGTAATCATTACCTGATTTGTTAGTTATGGTATGGCAGAGGGTCTCATTTCTTAGAAGTGACTTCATGGTTAAACTCTGATGAATGATTCTGTTCTCTTCACTTCCAGAGGAGATTTGCACCCTAGTTATCGCTGAGACTTTCCCTGAAGATGCAGGGATCTTTACATGTTCAGCAAGAAATGATTATGGATCAGCAACCAGCACTGCCCAGCTGGTTGTCACCTCAGGTATGTGAGGAGTAAGAAAAAATGACTAGGTTCCGTTCCTCAGCACCAGTGTGGTTGGCCAAAGCAGAAGGGGATTGTCGCGTCAGCGTGGTCACTCACGCCCTGTAATCCCAGCACTTTGGGAGGCTGAGACAGGCAGATCACTTGAGGTGAGGAGTTTGAGACCAGCCTGGCTAACCCTGTCTCTACTAAAAATGCAAAAATTAGACGAATATAGTGGCGTGTGCCTGTAATCCCAGCTACATGGGAGGCTGAGGCAGGAGAATCGCTTGAATCTAGGAGGTGGAGGTGGCAGCAAGCTGAGATCGTGCCATTGCATTCCAGCCTGGGGGACAGAGTGAGACTCCGTCTAAAAAAAAAAAAAAAAAAGAAAGAAAGAAAGAAAGAGACTATCCCAGGAAGAGAGCTCAGCCTTCAGGAATGCTAGCCACTCCAGGAGTGACCCTAACAATCTATGTTTCATCATGAAACAAAGGCTCTGGGGAGGGGAGGAGAGGGAATGAGGTGGAGATGACAAACAAAAAGAGAATAATTGTGTAGCAACTGAACACAGCTCTCTAAAATCGTGCCGTCTCACTGTTGG